CTTAAAGTGTTGAAAGGCCTACACAATGTTTGAAGGGTTGTCAGTACTCTGGAAGTATGATTGTGGATAAGGCATCAATCACTCTACAAAGTCGAAACAATGTGCTGAAGTGGGTATTTTTATGGGCAGCATTTAGGAACTTATGTCAAATCCCATATTCACTACTCGTAGGAACTTAAAACAATATGCTCAAGTAGTTAAAAAAGCTTGAGGCATGTTTGGTTTGTATCTCAAAAAATAATATTGAAAAATAATTTTGGAGAAGATTTTAAAAAAAATATTTTTAAAAATTTTAGATTGCAAAACCTGTTTGATTATATATTTTTAAAATAATTTTAAAAAACAAAAAATTGTAAAAGCTGCTTGAACAATAATCTACAAAACTCACAATTCTCATATCTATCTTTCTTTCCCTTCTCTCTGTCTTCATAAAACCCACACGCACACACATTTCTGTAAATATACATATCTGTGCACAGATTTGTGTATATATAAAGTATTTAGAACAATGCTACATAGATTTAAAATATAAATTCGATCAATCATTATCGTTGATTTCATTGTGGGTCTTATTATTTATTGAGATTTAATACATATTCAATGGTTGTGATTGACCCAAATAGCATTTCTCAAGTATTCATACAAGTTCATACAGTGATGCTTTACATTTAGAGTATCACTTTAACAAAAAGTTATTTTAGAGCATCTAAACATATTTTGTTAGAGTATGTGTTTTGTATTTATTTAACTAAATTTTAGCTATTTTAATGTTTTACAGATGCTAAAGGGTGTTGAAAAGGAGATTTTGACATTTAAGAGTTATGGTGGACAATCGTTGAGTTCGAAGGATTAATCGACACAAGTCTAGACATTTTGTATAAAAAAATTTACCCAAAAAATAAATAAATAAATGGAATTAAATTTGAATTTGTATTCTTTTTAATTTTTTTACTCAAATTAGAGGAAAAAATTAAGTTAGCGATAGCCAAAAAGAACAATTATGAAACTCAATCTTTGGGCTTAGACGTCCATGTAGGAAATCCTTAGAATTGGATTTTGGGGAATCTCAACAGCACCTGTTATTTGGGCTGAAAATTGGGCTATCTTTTTTGAGAAGGACAATTTATAAGCTGATAAAATTTTTTAGATTTGTTTAGGTAAAAGTATAACTCAAAAACTTATTTTTGATAAAATGTATATTTTTTTAAAAATATCATTATTGTCATCGGTAAACAATAAATATATGAAAATCTATTATCTTCCATCCATTCTTTTTGGCTAAAATCAAGTGGAGGTAAAATAAGGGGTTTAATTATCAAAACTCATCTAGTGACGAAGTTACAACGATAAACAATAATTCATCACTAAAAGTTAACTTTTTGTGACAAATAATGTTGTCGTCACTCATCCTAGATCATTAGTGACAACTTCACATGTCATCACTAAAAAGGTATCGTTAATGACGAAAATAACTTGATCACTAAAAAATTTGTCACTAAAGCCCATCATTGTTGTAGTGACTGTGACTATTCATCGTCCAAAAAAAAGAGGAACCCGAGTTACTGTTTATCATCCAGAAAAAATAGGAATACGAGTCACTGTTCATTGTCAATAAAAAGGAAGAATCCAAGTTACTGTTCATCGTCCAAAAAAAGAGGAATACGACTTACTGTTCATCGTGTTCTACAGTCAAGTAACTGTAAATCATCTTCGGCAACTTCTTCACCGGAAATTGCATGTGACATTCATTTTTCTTTTTGTGTCATTTATTAATTTTTTTTCCACAATCTGTGTTGTTTGATTTTTTGATTAAAAATAATTATGTAACTGTTTTAAATAACTATTTGTTAATATTCAAAAATTAATTGTTGAAACTGTACTGACACAGTTACATCAATTAAAACACAATTACACCAATTAAAAGCATAGTTACACCAATTAAAAAATAGTTACACCTATTAAAATACAGTTACACCCATTAAAACAAAATCAAATTTTTTCCCCTTCATTCCAACATAGAATAAACATAAAACAAAATTGAACATAGGAATTTCCCAAAAAAAATGACCAAATAAAAGAAGAAATATACTTATTATGTTTATACGAAAAAATAGTTAACACTCATTAAAAACAATTACACTCATTAAAAGAAAAAATAATTTTTTCCCCCTTCATTCCAACAACGAACAAACATAAAACAAAATCGAACATAGTCATTTCAAAAAAAAATAACTGAATAAAAGAAGAAATATACTTATTATGTCTATAAGAAAAAATAGTTATAACCATTAAAAATAGTTACACCCATTAAAACCAAATGCAGCTTTTTTTCCCCTTCATTCCAACAACGAAAAAACATAAAACAAAATCGAATATAGGAATTTCCCAAAGAAAATGACAAAATAAAAGAAGAAATATAATTATTAACAACTAATCTTTAAGCCGATGACGGTGATTGGTATTTGCAGCTCCTTTTTTCGAATAAATTCACCTCCAGAGAAGTAAATTGACCGTTGAATAAAACTCTTATTACCTAAATTAGATGAACACAGACGTTAAAGAAGACTCTTACTATAAAGATCAATTTTTTTTTTTTGAAGAAACTGCAGAGACATTTGAAGACATTTTGTGTTACAGCATAAACTTTTTGTTTTATTGTAGAGATCAGTTGAACACAAACTTTTATTGCATACAAAACTGCTTATTCAAAATTCAAAAATTAAAGATAATAAATATGTAATATTTATATATTTGTTTCCTCAAATAACTGTCAATAATTGTTGCATAAATTAAGGAAGAGTGTTTAAGTAAAAAAAAATTCAATTCATTTGGATTTTGTACCTAAACACAAAAGATTTTATAAAAATTGTACTTAATAGAATAAACAATTTATCCATACACTTTTGCCTAAATAAGTCTAAAAAGTTGTACCCACACCTACAAAACAGAAAATATCATAATTAGTCCATAAACTTTGTATCCGATTTTAATTTAGTTCTTTAATTTTCAATTGTCTCAATTTAGTCTCCTAAGTATCAATTTCGTCTCAATTAAATCCGTTCATTTATTTTTATTGTTAGATCAACTGAAGACTAACCAAATCTGATCTATTTCAAATGTTAAATCATATGTTTTTGTTTTGATTTAATGGTGAAAATAGACAAAAGTACATAATAGAGATTAAATTGATAGTTGAAAGTCTAAATTGAGACAATTGAAAGTTCAAAGACTAAATAAAAAATGGAGATAAAATTTAGAGACTAATTATAGTATTTGTCCATTTGTTTTTTGATGAAAATCGTCTAACTAATTGTCATTTGAACATTACACATCCAAGTTTATTCAACTAGACTTGAAGTTAAATTTTACTTGTTTGTAAATATTTAACTTCTTGTTTGATTGTTAAACCAACTTGTACGAGTTCAAATCAGACTCACCTTTTATCCTTATATTATTGTGCTGGAAATGTATAATGTATAAATAATTCTATATACACTAAATTATTGTCAATCGTTGGATAATAATGAGTTTCACTGATTCAACAATTATCAATGATTTGATGCACACTTTTTAATGTACGCTCATAACATACCTTAAAATGCTAAAAGGCCCACACAATGTTTGAAGGGTTGTCAGTACTCTGGAAGTATGGTTGTGGATAAGGCATCAATCACTCTACGAAGTCGAAACAATGCCCTGAAGTGGGTATTTTTATAGGCAGCATTTAGGAACTTATGTCAAATCCCATATTTACTACTAGTAGAAGCTTCAAACAATATGCTCGAGTAGTTAAAAAAGCTTGGGGTATGTTTGATTTGTATTTTAAAAAACTGCATCTAAAAATAATTTTTGAGAAAAATTTTAAAAAGATGCTTTTAAACATTTTAGATTACAATCCTGTTTGGTTATATATTTTTTAAAATAATTTTAAATAACAAAAAATTGTAAAATTTGTTTGAACAATAATACACAAAACTCACAATTCTCATATCTATCTTTTTTTCCCCTCTCTTTGTCTTCACAAAACCCACAAGCACACGCACACACAAACACAAACACACACGCACACATGCATAAACAAATAGACACAGACTCATACACACAGATCTGTATATACACATATCTGAGCTTCAGATTTATGTAGATTTAAACTTTAATTGTTGTGAGAGAGAGAGACTTCAACGACACAAACAGAGAACGAATAAGAGAACATAGACAGAGAATAGAGATCTGAGCACACAGACAAAGAACGAAGAAGAGAAACTCCGGCGACAGAGCGGCAATGTTTGTTGCACAACGTCGTTGTAGAGAGAGAGAGAGAGAGATATGGAAAAAACATAAGGAGATTGAGAAAAATGCATTTTGTTGATAAGAAAGTTTGATGGATAGATCTCTGCGTTTTCACAAATTTTAGGAGAAAACTCATAAAACAATATTGTCTTGTTTCTATTTTTTTGCTCTAAATCTTATTTTTTCCCCGAAAATTTGAGAACAAAAATGCTATTCAAATGGGTTTTCAAAGTTTTTGAGATCAGTATCTGTTATCAAAATTCAAACCAAACACTCCCTTATTCTATGACATTATTGCACTGAATTTTAGATTCTTAACTAAGTACGAATTTCAGAAGGTAAAGTCCAATCAAACAAAATAGCACAATGAAAATATCAATATATGCAGCACGTCATCTTCAAAATTCATATAAATGACATAGTTGAATTCTTATAATTCTCGTCGTGCAACATTGTTCGGCCTTCTCTAAAATTCAACCCAAACTTTAACAATCGGAACATAGTTGAGGAGATATGCATTAAAAATTACACTAGCTAGTATAGAATTCCCTAGGAGGAGCATGAAAGTTAAACAAAAACACGCACACATACCCAAAATAAAAAAAAAACAACCCTTCTCTTGAAGATGACTAGAGATCACCATTTGAGAAAAACATAACAAGATAATATTATACTTACAAGTACCAAAACCACAAGCTCAAAAGATCGACTTAATGCATAAAAGCATATAGAGCGATGGATATATAACCCGAAAGTCCAATGGTCACCAGGATAATCAACGTGGCCACAGAATAAGCTGTTTTGCCTCCGCAAGACAATAACCCCAACTTCATCTCCACAACATTGACCATTGCAAGCATCAAGAACAAGCATCCCATCACCGACCCAATAGCTGATCCCATCATCCCAAACTTCAGGATGTTGACGTTAATCTTGGCCTTCAAGGCCTCTTCCACCTCTCTGCTGTTCAGGAGGTTGATGGCGAGTTTGAGACCCCGTGCGATGAGTGAGGAGAAGAGGAAGAAGCTGAAGGAGGAAACCTCGAAGACGACAAGGGTTCTCGCCACTTCAACGTCAGTACTGCATGATGATTTGCTCTTTATGGTGCTGCTTTGGTCTGATGTAAGGGAAAGTCCGATGAAGACTGCGACAGTGAAGAGGGCGTTGACGTTCACTATGCCGTCGAGTGCCATCACGTGGACGCTGGTGGTGGAGAACCATGATGAAGATGGTGTTGATGGAGTTCTAGGGGTTGGTTGCTGGTGGTAGTCATTTGAGTATGATTTAGACCTGTAAAAGAATATAGATTTCAAGAGAATAAAATGCATATAGCTAGTGATGTATGTATAATTGTCTATATATATAGAACGACAGGTGATACCCCAAAACAATTTGCACAGTAGTTTACGGCTAGCCCACGTACCTCTGCATGCTACACACACGCACACAAAGAAGAGAGAGAGAGAGAGAGAGTGATTACTCTGCCATGATAAAAAAAAAAAAAAAAACAGCTGCTTTGTTGAAGGTTTAAGTGTTTCTCAGATTGGGCGAAGAGACATGCATGTAGACTTGCTCAAGATTAAGTTGTTGCTTTTTATGGCTCCTATTTGTTTTGCTGCATTGGTAGGAAAACTATGTTGTATATAATGGCCTGGCTTTAGCTTTTTGTTTGCTTTATGGACAGTTTGAGGGCTGACATGAGTGGCTGAGAGAGGGAAAGCCAAATGACCAAATTGGAGGCGGCGGATGAGAGGTTTTCTCTTTCCCCACTTTGTTGTTTTGTGGGTGAATAAGAGATGGAAAGAAACTGTCACAACAATCAATAATTTACGAAGCTCATTAGCTTGCTTTTATTGTCGACGAGAAGGATTTGATGAAGTATATATGCCAGTAGAGATAGAAATTGGGATTACTCTTCCATGACAGTTGCTGCGACGTAATTGTCTTTTGGGTATGTCTCAGATCTGTGAAGAAACAAAGAAAACAATCACCATTACAAACCATAATAAACACTCATATATACAGTATATATGCCAGTAAAATAGGGATTACTCTTCCACGATTGAATTTTAAACTCGTTGGGTCTCAAATGTGAGAGAGAGAGAGAGAGAGAGAGAGAGAGAGGGGTTTAATTCACGGGGGTTGTGGTTGCTTGGTGGACTTTTTTTTGTATGTCCTAGAGCGGAAGGGAAAGTGAGGCGTGGGGAGAGAGAGACATGCAGTGCTTTCCTATTGGCTTTTGTTCAAAAGAATCATGGGATGGGATTAACCTAACCGATGAGCTCATACTTGAAATGTTGAGGAAACTTCAAACTTTAAATCCGATAGAGATTGCTACGTTTTACTAAAACTTATATTATTTTTACTGTGAAAGTTTATGGTATCAAAAAAAAAATTATCAAATTATTATTTAGAAAAATTTCATTTACGCCCCCTCTAATTAAGTCTAAATTCAATTATACCTCTCCTCAATTCTGAAATTTCACAGCCACTATCTGTCAGACTTTGTATGGTAACGACCTAAATGGCTAGGGTTGATTTACAAAAACAACCACAAATATTTTATACGTACTCTGTATGTATAACTATTTAACCTATACTACTAATTATGGTTTAGTTTAGCTAACCCCACCTATTTATTAAACCTAACCCAACCTATGTTGTCTTTGTGCATTTATGGATTAATCGTCTGTTGCACGAATAAAGAGAGGGAGAGAGAGGGGGGAAGAAAGAATAGGGGAAGAAGACTCTTTGAACAAAGAATGCTTCACGTTGTAGTTTCATCTCCAATGGCATCCAACAATGCTTCAGGAAGAAGTCCATGAAGGTGGACTTGAGGACAAAGTTCATGGAACTTTCATTCAACATTATGGTGAGAATGATATCGAAAAAAAGGTACTATGGAAAGGATGTGGTGGATGAAGAAGCGTGGCAGTTTTGGGTATTTTGAGGGAGTCGATGGAGCTTCATGGAAGTTCAAATTTGGGAGATTATTTTCCTTTCTTTCAGTGGGTTGACATTCAAGGGGTAGAGAAGAAGATGATGAGATTGATGAAGAAGATGGATAAACTTTTCCAATTCCTAATTCATGAGCACCGAAAAATCAGGACCAAATCAAATGTATCATTGGGTGAATCAAGCGGAAGTGCAGTTGAGAGGAAGAAGAATACTTTGATTGATGTTATTTTATCACTGCAACAAGAGGAAGCTGAAGGGAGAATATGGGAGAAGTTCTATCTCAAGATTTGAGAGATGAAATTATGGGTTTTGGTTTGATTCTGTTAGATATTTCTGATACGCTGGTTTGGAAGGATTCTACTTCAGGATCCTTCTTTGTTAAATCATCATGGAATTCGTGTAGAGAGAGGGAGAGTGCATGAAACAGCTAAGGTGATATGGGGGCAAAATGTTTCACCTAGTACCCAATTGGTAGCTTGGAAGATTCATCGGGGTGCCTTATTTGTGGATGAAAGTGTTCAGAAGTTGGGAATTCCTTTGGTGGGCAAATGTAATTTTTGTTGCCAAGAATTGGAAAATTTTGAGCATTTGTTCGCTGGTCATTCGTTTACAAATTTTATTTGGAAAAAGTTAGCTGATTTGGTGGGATTTAGTTTAATTGCTTGGGAATTTCCTATGATTAGAATGAAGAGGATTGCTAGGGTTTTTCGAAGTCAGACTGTTAGTCATGGATTAATAAAAGGCCTTTCATTGTTGATTTTTCATTTTATGTGGAAAAAGAGATGTAGGTGGCATGAAGAGTCCATGTGGAGTGCTTATTCTGTGTTTGAGCAAATTTTGGCCTCTCTGAAATGGCAAGTGTATGGTTTAAGGCCAAAGAAAGTGGAGAGTTCAGGAGGTTGTGAAATGCTTCAAGTTTTGGTTGTAAGGGTAATTGCTTTTGTTTAAATCAGAGCTTTAAGGGTTACTTGGGTTCCTCCTTGCAGTGGGGTGTTCAAGTTGAATGTTGATGGTGCTGCAAGGGGAAATCCAGGTGATTCTGGTGGAGGCGTGGTGATAAGAAATCGAGTAATGCTAGATGAACTTAAAAATTACACTTGATAATCTCAATCATCGAATAGGTAATGGATCCTAATAAATACTGGGACCCACAGTGAAATTAATGATGCTAATTATCAAGTTTAATTTTTAAGTCTACTTTTTAAATTCATGTAGCATTGCTCTAAGATATCAGGCGGGTGGAGTTTTTCTACTGGAGCCTATTTTTATGGGGTTGGATCAAATATGAGGGCTGACTGTTTAGCATTATTAGAAGGGATTAGACTTTATAAGAGGAGTGGACTAGAGGCGAAAATTTTAATTGAGTCCGACTCTGAAGTTCTGGTTCAGATGGTATTGGGGAAGGTCAAAGTTTCTTGGAGATTAAGGGGCATTCTGTCTCAGATATTGAAGGAGTTATAAGGGTTGGATTTTCAGATTTGTCATGTTTTCCGAGAAGCGAATTATGTTGCTGATTTTTTGGCAAAAAAGGCATTTCAGGATGGAGCTTCTTTGGAGTTTGCTACTGTGGGCTCTTTACCTTGTCTGGGACATTTGTTGGTGGTACAAGACCAAAGAATGATGCTAGTCCTGAGGGTGAAGCGTTCAGTTCATTATGGCACTGTGCAGACATGGTAGTATTTAGAATGAGAATTGTAATTGTAAATTTGTTGTTTTTGTAATATTTTAAAGGATTAAAGCCATAATGGGCAGAATCCTTTCTTTGCTTCTTGTAATTTTTTTGGAGTTTGTTTGAATAAAATCTTTCTTCCTTAAAAAAAAAAAAAAAAAAGCTGAATGGTATAAGATGATTCCATTTGGTGCTGGGAGACGGGCTTGTCCTAGGGCTACTTTCGGAGTTTTGATTCAGTCCTTTGAATGGGAAAAGTTGGCAAAAAGGAGATTGTCATGACAGAAGGGATAGGTCTAACCATGCCAAAAGCCAAGCCTTTACTTTTAGGGTCGAGGACATTTTAGTACATTTATATAAGGAAAGGAGATTTTGATATTTTTTAAAAAAATTAAAGACAAACCGTTACTTTTTTGCACCGACACTGTTAAACATTATCGTTAACGGAGTGACTTTGATTTGAAAGTATAAACTAAAATAGAGTGCAGTGAAGTTTCAGAATCGATAGGGGGTGTCATTGAATTTAGGCCTAATTAGAGGAGTGTGAATGAAATTTTTCCTTATTATTTTTACCCTAAGACTATACTTTTAAAAGAAAAAATTGCTCCTATTATCTTTTGAAAAAAAGAAGTTACAATTGATAAAAAAATGGGAGACTTAAAGTAGTATTGTAGTGATTAAAGTAGGTTTATTGGAGCTAATGTTTAGCAAAGGTTTCCTTTAACTTTGGATTTTTTAATTAGAGTATTATTAAGAAGTGAAATAGGTGTCAGCATACATGTACGTAAAAATTCTATTTTTTTAAATGAACATTGAATCAAGAAGTATTACTAAAAAATATTGATGAGAATTATTATTCAAATACCCATACAGATTAGGAATGCAAATTTTGAAGGAGAAAAAAAGCAGTAATAGGTACAACGTGCATCCCGAGTACTAGTGGGTCTTGCTATTCACACCAAAAATGATGTAGATAAAGTGACCAAATGAACCTTATGGTCCCGGGTCCAGTTAAAGCATCAACAATAAGGTTTTAAGGATTTGTATTTTAGTTATTTAAAAATATATATATTTTTTATTTTAGTTATTCATATTTTCAATATATTCTTTAATAGATTTTTTATATTTTAACTATTTTTTTAAAATATTATTTCACATAGTACTTTTATTGGGACCGTCAGGAGAGAGAATAAAAAGAAGGGTTAATCTCATTTTACACCTCGAAAGATTGTTCGAATCTTAATTTATACCTTGAAAGATTAAAAATCTCAATTTACACCCTCAAAGATAAAAACTTGTATCAATATGCACCCCCAAAGATCAAAAATTTCAATTTGCACCCTCAAAGATAGAAATTTATATCAATGTGCACCCAAAGATAAAAAATCTCAATTTGCACCCTCAAAGATAGAAATTTGTATCAATGTGCACCTAAAATTAAATTGATAAATTATACCTAGATCCCCTCATACTTGTCATTTAATTATTTAGACCTCTTCACATTTAGAATATTACTCTTACATCTTATGACATTTGTGCACGTATAACACGTAACTCATTTTCATTGATATCTATTAATATAACCGTTAAAAAATATAATTTTATCCTAATAAAAACTTATAGTTTCATATTACCCTTTATTTCATGGGTTCAATATATTCTAAAGTTCAAAATTTAGTTTACCATTTAAATGTCTAATAAAATATAAATATTTATATAATATTTTTCATATTACCTTTTATATAAATATCTACATTTTATTTGACATTCAAATGGTAAACTTGATTTTCAACTTTAGAGTATATCAAATCCACAAAATAAAAGGTAATATGAAATTATAATTTTTTATTAGGATAAAGTTATATTTTTTAACGATTATATTAACAGATATCAACGAAAAGTGGTTATGTGTTACACATGCACAAACGTCATGAGATGTAAGGGGAATATTCTAAATGTGAAGGAGTTCAAATGATTAAGTGACAAACATGAGGGGATCTAAGTATAATTTATTAATTTAATTTTAGGTGCACATTGATACAAATTTCTAACTTTGAGGGTGTAAATTGAGATTTTTTATCTTTGGGGTGCACATTGATATAAATTTCTATCTTTAATTTTAGGTGCACATTGATACAAATTTCTATTTTTGAGGGTGTAAATTGAGATTTTTTATCTTTGGGGTGCACATTGATATAAATTTATATCTTTGAGGGTGCAAATTGAGATTTTTGATCTTTGGAGGTGCATATTGATACAAATTTTATCTTTGAGGGTGTAAATTGAGATTTTTGATCTTTAAGGGTGCAAATTGAGATTTGAACAATCTTTTAGAGTGTAAAATGAGATTAACCCTAAAAAGAAAGACAAAGAGAGGATAAGAAAGAGAGAGAAAAATTTATAAAGTATTTAGAGCAAGCTTCGTAGACTTAAAATATAAACTTGATCAATCATTATCATTAATTTAATTGTGGGTCTAATTATTTATTGGGATTCAATATCTATTCAACTGTTGTGATTGACCCAAATAACATTTCTCTTGTATATATTTATACAAGTTGATACAGTGATGCTCTACATTTAGAGTATCACTTTAACAAAAAATTATTTTAGAGCATATGAATACATTTTGTTGGAGTATATTTTTTGTCTTTAGTTAACTAAATTTAGCTATTTTAAAGTTTTTACAGATGCTAAAAGGTGTTAAAAAGTATATTTTGACATTTAAGAGTTACGGTAGACAATCGTTGAATTTGAAAGATTAATCGACACAAGTTAGACACTCTGTTTCAAAAAATTTACCCTCATAATAAATAAGAGAATCGAATTAAATTTCAATTTGTATTCTTTTAAATTTTTTACTCAAATTAGAGTAAAAAATTAAGTTAGCGATAGCCAAAAAAACAATTATTAAACTCAATCTTTGGGCTTAGACGTCCACGTAGGAAATCCATAAAATTGGATATGGGGAATCTCAACAGCGCTTGGGCTATATTTTTTGAGAAAGCATCGTAATTAGTCCATAAACTTTGTATTCAATTTTAATTTAGTTCTTTAACTTTCAATTATTTTAATTTAGTCTCTCAACTATTAACTTTGTCTCAATTAAGTCTTTTCATCTATTTTTATCGTTAGATCAATCGAAGACTAACCCAATTTGATCCATTTCAAATGTTAAATCATATGTTTCTGTTTAGATTTAACGGTGAAAATAAATAAAAATATTTAACTGAGTTAAAATTGATAGTTAAAAGCCTAAATTGCGACATTTGATAGTTCAAGGACTAAATAAAAAATGGAGATAGAATTTAGAGACCAGCTATAGTATTTGTCAATTCGTTTTTCGATGAAAATCGTCTAACTAATTCTCATTTGAACATTACACATCCAAGTTTGTGCAACCAAAGTTAAAGTTAGATTTTACTTGTATGTAAATATATAACTTCTTGTTTGATTGCTAAAAACCAACTTGTACGAGTTCAAAACAGACTCACTTTTTACACCTATGTTATTGTGTTGAAAATATATAATGTATGGATAATTCTATATACATTAAATCATTGTCAGCCGTCGTATAATAATGAGTTTCACTTATTCAACAATTATCAGTGATTTGGTGAACAAAATTAGCGTGCGGTCATAACGTACCTTAAAGTAGTGAAAGGCCTACACAATGTTTGAAGGGTTGTTAGTACTCTGGAAGTATGATTGTGGATAAGACATCAATCACTCCATGAAATTGAAACAATGTGCTAAAGTTGGTATTTTTATGGACAGCATTTAAGAACTTATGTCAAATCCCACATTCACTACTAGTAGGAACTTAAAATAATATGCTCAAGTAGTTAAAAAAGCTTGAGCATGTTTGGTGTGCATCTCAAAAAATAATATTTAAAAATAATTTTTGAGAAGATTTTTAAAAAAATATTTTTAAAAATTTTATATTGTAAAACCTGTTTGATTATATATTTTTAAAATAATTTTAAAGAACAAAAAATTGTAAAATTTGTTTAGACAATAATTTACAAAACTCACAATTCTCATATCTATCTTTCTTTCTCCTCTCTCTATCTTCATAAAACCCACACGCACACGCACACACACACACACATAGACACCGACACACACATGCACACACAAACACAAACATAGACACACACACAAACACAAATCTGTATATATACATATATGAGCACAGATTTGTGTATATACTCAAATCTGAGCTTCAGATCTATGTGGATCTAAACTTTAATTGTTGCGAGAGACGGAGAAGAGAACACAGACAGAGAACAGAGATCTGAGCACACAGACAGAGAATGGAGAAAAGAAACTCTGACGACAGAGCAGCGTTCTTTGTTACTCTAGTCTTCGTTGCACGACGTCATTGCAAAGAGAGAGAGATGGAGAAAGCATAAGCAGATGGAGAAAAATGCATTTTCTGCTAAAAAAGTTTGATGGGTAGACCACCGTGCTTTCACAATTTTCTAGAGAAAACTCAAAAAACAACACTGCCTTATTTTTTATTTGTTTGCTCCAATCTCATTTTTTCTAGAAAATTTGAGAACAAAAATGCTAACCAAATGAGTTTTCAAAATTTTTGAGATCAAAAAACTATTTTCAAAATTCAAACTAAACACCCCTTTGTTCTTTGATATTATTGCACTGAATTTTATACTCTTAACTAAGATCGAATTTCAAAAGGTAAAGTCCAATCAAACAAAATATCACAATGAAAAACATGATTCGACTACATCATCAATATATGCAGCACGTCATCAAAGCTCATATAAATGACATAGTTGAATCCTTATAATTCTCATCATGCAATTTTGGTCGGCCTCCTTCTCTAAAATTCAACCCAAAATTTAACAATCGGAACGTAGTTGAGGAGATATGCATTAAATATTGCACTAGCTAATATTGACACACTAGCTAATATTGACTTCCAAAGGAGGAGCAAGAAAGTTAAACAAACACACGCACACATACCCCAAAGAAAAAAACAGTAATACTACACTGATAAGTTTTTGGAACTAAATTTAGAGCATAAATTACATGACTATTGACTTAGGCATCTATATTTTGTGTCATGTCATTTGAACCCTAATAAAGAATCCAAATAATATGCTGTTATGTCATTTGAGTTTCAAATTTAATTCTAAAATTTGATTAATGTAGCATTGCATAGAAAAAAAAAAACAACCCTTCCCTTGAAAATGACTAGAGATCACCATCTGTGAAAAACATACAAGATAATATTGTACTTACAAGTACCAAAACCACAAGCATAAAAGATCGACTTAATGCATAAAAGCATATACAGCGATGGATATATAACCCGAAAGTCCAATGGGCACCAGGATAATCAACGTGGCCACAGAATAAGCTGTTTTGCCTCCGCAAGACAATAACCCCAACTTCATCTCCACAACATTGACCATTGCAAGCATCAAGAACAAGCATCCCATCACCGACCCAATCGCTGATCCCATCATCCCAAACTTCAGGATGTTAACGTTAATCTTGGCCTTCAAGGCCTCTTCCACCTCTCTGCTGTTCAGGAGGTTGATGGCGAGTTTGAGACCGTGAGCGATGAGTGAGTAGAAGAGGAAGGAGCTGAAGGAGAAGACCTTGTAGACGAGAAGGGTTCTCGCCACTTCAATGTCAGTACTGCATGATGATTTGCTCTTTAGGGTGCTGCTTTGGTCTGATGAGTCTGATGCAAGGGAAAGACCAATGAAGACTGCGTCAGTGAAGAGGGAGTTGACGTTCACTATGCCGTCGAGTGCCATCACGTGGACGCTGGTGGTGGAGAACCATGATGAAGATGGTGTTGATGGAGTTCTAGGGTTTAGTTGCTGGTGGTAGTCATTTGAGTATGATTTAGACCTGTAAAAGAATATAGATTTCAAGAGAACATATAGCTAGTGATGTATGTATAATTGTCTATATATATAGAACGACAGGAGCTACCCCAAAGCAATTTGCACAGTAGTTTACGGCTAGCCCACGTACCTCTGCATGCTACACACAGAGAGAGAGAGAGAGAGTGATTACTCTGCCAAGATAATTAAAAAAAAAAACAGCTGTTTTGTTGACGGTTTTAGTGTTTCTCAGATTGGGTGTAGAGACATGCACGTAGACTTGCTCAAGATCAAGTTGTTGCTTTTTATGGTTCCTATCTGTTTTCCTGCATTGGTGGGAAAACTATGTTGTATATAATGGCCTGGCCTTAGCTTTTTGGTTGCTTTATGGATAATTTGAGGGTTGACATGAGTGGCTGAGAGACGGAAAGCCAAATGACCACATTGGAGGCGGCAGATGAGAGGTTTTCTCTTTCCCCACTTTGTTGTTTTGTGGGTGAATAAGAGATGGAAAGAAACTATCACAACAATCAATAATTTACGAAGCTCATTAGCTTGCTTTTATTCTCAACGAGAAGGATTTGATGAAGTGTTTTACCTAGCACGATAGAAGACAACCGGTTGGTTGAAATGCACCAAATTGGACTAATGCTCAGACAAATTCTGTTATAATAGATCTTCATTGTCATCTTCAATTTCCTTCACATTTTCAACTATGTCCTGAATACTCTTTGTTAGGTGCTGTGTATGTCGTTCTACGTCTTTCAAAACCGAGTCCAGTTGCTTTCTGCACTCTGCCAACTGTTGATTAGTACGATGAAGCTTAGCAGATAGCTCCCGAATTTTCTTATCCTTCTCATCCTACACAGAGAAGAAAAAATGTGTTAACAGTGGAATTTAAACGTCCATCCTCGATTATACCACTTAAACACAAATTAGACAAAACTAATATTTTGTGGACAAAAGTGGACCAGGATGAGAAGAAAAAATGTGTAAACAGCGGAATTTAAATGTCCGTCCTCAATTAGACCACTTAAACACAAATTAGACAAAACTAATATTTTGTGGACGTAAGTGTACCATTTCTATATTTTATCCAATACATGTAGAAAGGAGAAGAGTCTAGCCTAACATGATCATCGGAGAATGAAAAAAGAAACTCAGTTCCCTAACATGCAAATATTTGTGATAAAATGATAGGGGGATGGGAAGGACAGGAAAGAGAGAGTGGACACCTGATCAACAGAGCAAAAACTGGTTGTGACCAAGTGCAGAAGAAATAGCAAGATAGTAAACCTACTACTTAGCTCAACTGACCTGTGGCCGGGCCTGAATTGTACCCCGACGGCCCTTCCCAGCAGGAATCCCCAATGGGTGACTATGCTTTGTTTCAAGTTTTGTAACTACCCATCTCCCTGATTTCCCTTTCCTCACCATTATCATTGCCTTGCAACCTTCTCTAGTTATCTCCCTTGGCTTCCTAACTTCAAGGCTCTTTGCTTTCTTATTATTTACACGAAAACCTTCTTTGTTACAAAGAAACCTACGACTAATAACTGACCCATCATGACTAGAACGGTGGCAATTGCCAACACGAATGATAAAGCCAAACCGCTTGGCATATGCATCATAGTATGCCATGGCAGCCTCTTCAGACTCAAACTCCATCCCAATATATGGATCTACAGTACCGTCCATGTCATGTACAATTAAGTCCCTTTCATCAAACACTTCAAGCATTTCTCCATGCTCAGATACACAAATCTCCCTTGCAACTGCAATTTCTATACTCTTGTTGTCCACATTTGAGTTGTCCATATCTGCATCGATATCTACTCCTGAAGGCTCTGTAATCATTTTGTAATGATCACTTGTGTAGGTTGTGAAATTCACTGCTAACATTAATGTACGTGAAGTCAATTTCCACATCCAATATGATGACAAAATCAAATACTTAGCGCATATTTCATAAAATGAACACACACGAGAGATTCACTATTGATCTGTATAGAGTTCGCCTATTTTCTTTTGCAGCTAGCATGAAACATGCATTACAAATAAAATGAAACTCTAAACATCATCAGACCAACTGTATTTCCTTCTCTGTATATCATGCTGGCAAATAAAATTTCAAAAAACAGTAAGCAAACATTTAGCAATCTTCCGTAATTAGGTGTTCTTGCCGTAACATAATTTTTTCATACTTAATGATTCTTATATGCTTAACCCAAACTCCATTGTGTTAACTTAAATTGATATGCACATATCATAGAACCCACCACATATGAATAACCTTATGTGTACCAATGGACCTTTAGTCTAATGGTACTCTTTGTCTCGAAAAGGTTTTGCCGAGGTCAAGGGTTCAAGTTCTCTTCTCCTTCACCTCCCCCCCCCCCCCCCCAAAAAAAAAAAAAAATATGTGTAGGGATGAAACAGAAGAAAAAAGTAACCAACAGACCTGGTTCATTCTGAAAACTAAGGAACAATGGCTAGAGAATCTCTATCAGGCTCTTGCCCACACAAGCACTATGGTTTATTACTCTCTTGACAGCCCAATTGGGACATAAAAATGTAAAGAGAACATGAAAGACATAAAGGAAACAGATATGCATGTGATGTACATCACTTACAGCTTTACATAATGGTATTGATGAAAAATAAGCCCACATAAATCTCAGCAACAAATGGGTAAGTACATTTTGGAAATACAGAGTTTCACACCTATTCTGTGCCCAATGATAGCAATGAAAATAATTCATCAAGTAAAACCACATCCATTTTTTCTCAAAGAAAATCCCATTCTAGCGAGACCAGTATTTCCAAAGTAACAACGCAGAATTTAGAGGATGGAACATTCAACATACCTAAAGCACTAATCTTTTTACCAATTTTAGCAACTTCTCAAATCTATTTCTTACAGAATTACATCTGAACAATTTACTTCCTCTAACCAAACCCACATGCTATGGAAAGTAGAATGAAAAACTATTGATTATATACGGTCATATTAATCAATATAAGCACTCAGACAATTGTGAAAAACTCAAGCATTAGCAAGAATTCATCCTTTATTCAGATGAATTCCTTGTTTTACTCCAATATATTTGCCTAACCACACCTAGAAGGCACTTTTTGGGTTCTAGGGTTTTTCAGATTATTCTATTACAGATTACAATTTTAAATACAGTTTTTATACCCACCATCGGAGACGATGGGGTGGGTTATAGGGTAGCTTAATAAATTGAGAAAGAGAGAGAAATAGGTGTACTTACCTGTCTCTTCCTCCATTGATTCTCTCTCTCTCTCTCTCTCTCGCACGGCGGCTCCGTTTTGTTACTACCGCTGTTAACAGTTTATATTAAAATCATTCTGCAACTGGTGGATAGCAATTAAAGAGGGTCACAGTTGGAAGATCCTCTCGTGCTACATTTAGGTGTTGTGCCTTGATCACCGATGTGATCTACGGTCCTGATTTCTTAAGTCGCTGGAAGCCCACTAGCTGGATTACGGGAGTAGTGAACCCGTAGGGCAGGTTTGTTTTCGGCTTTAGAGTGGTATAAGCACATGGGATAGTCAAAAGAGTATCCTATTCCCTTAGACAAGGCGGAGCTAAAAAATTATTTCACGGTGAATAATATATTCATATAATAAAGTAATTTATAATTCAAATTTTAAAAGATATATAAAATAATTTTTACTATTCGTAGTTGAAGATCACTTTAAATTTTACTTTAAAGTTAATCTAACGGTTAATATTAACACCTTAAATTTAATAAAAACAAATAAGCCTCTAATTGTGTGTTTGAAATGACTTTTTAAAAGTACTTCTAAAAATTATTTATCATAAATATTTTATAAAAAAAATACTGTTTGAAACAACCTCACCACTACCTTTGCCACCACCACCACCGCCGTCATCGCCACCATCACCATCGTCGTCGCCACCCCCACCGCCACCCCCCACCGTCATCACCACCACTGTTATTACCACCACGACCACCATCGCTGTTGTCGCCGCCGCCGTCACCACCACCACCACGGTCATTGTCACCCACCATAACCATCACCGTCTCCTCTCACCACTTCTCACCCCCACTACAAACCGATACTTAAAATTTTTTATCTCTTCTCTATATGTTTGTGATTTGATTTTGGATATTTTTATACAAATATGTTTATTGTTTATCATTTTTTATTATTCTGTATCTTCAAGCACATGCAATAACTAGTATTTTAATAAGCGTAATTTTTTTATATAATTGATAAAAATAAAATAAAAATATTTATATTTAATTATATCTTATTTAATTCTTAAAAGTTCATTAAAATTAAAAGATTAAAAAAAAATTACTAAGCATAATAGATACAAATGACAAAAAAAGGCTAATTATATTATTTTACCAAATAAAGGCTAATCAAAACAATTTAGAATTAATTTAATGAATTTTTATACGTTGAAACTCTTGCCATTAACTTTATTATTATTTATATCCACAATCATATTATCACTTAGCTATTTACTATTTATTTGATTATATAATAAAATATATTATCTATCATATCGGTGATAATTACTAAAATAAATGTTAAAATTATAAGTAAATTCATGAATATATCATACCTTTCTTGGTTTTGATTAAAAAATAGGGTGGACACAATTTAATATATTAAAAAAATACTTAAAATATATATAAGTAATTTTAGAAAAAAAAATTTAAGTGTGGGTATGTGCCCCCCCTAGGCATAAGGTGTCTCTGCCCTTGCCCTTGGATGATTGGCTTGTATCTGATGATGCACAAATTGAGTTTGTATATCACTTGTCAAATGAACAGTAATAAATGCAGTAGTAAAAGAGAGAATGATAGTAAATGATGAGTCAAGTCTAAGGGCCCAACCCACGTTGTAAGCCCAGTTTAAATTAAGAGCTTGACTTAAGAGAGATCCAGTAAGTCCAGCCCAAAGTGATATATGTCGGATCAAGCTCATCAGGGTTCGAGGAGCTACATCAGCGAGCATGCATGATTATCCAAGAGCTTCATCCACACCGCATTGGAAAGAGTCAACCCCCCCACGTCATCCTTTGACCAAATCTTATGGGGAACGTCGTAACTGTCTCATCCGTTGAAAAGAAGGCGTCAGCTCCACCAGATTAGCCACTTAGTTACTAATAAGTCGCCTTAATCTGTTAGGAGGCAACTATAAATTGTAAGTCCTGCCAACACTTGAGGGGCATCACACTCATGTGAGTACATCCTCTACTCTTCCCTATCTTAGCTTGTATCTTTCTGCTATCACTATACACCTTGACGTAATAAAACACTAGGCGACCCTAACCCTTCAAAGTGGACGTAGGTCACATTGACCGAACTGTAAATCCTTGTGTTATTTTCTCTTTCTTTACTTTATTACTGTATTTATTATTGATCACTTGGTAGTTGGTGTGCAAAATCAATTTGTGCATTATCAGTTCTGTGTAAGACAAGAAAGTGCTTGGTTTGGTTGTCAAGTAAGTTAACTAAGGTTGTGGTGTGAAATGCTTAACTATACAAGGGGCTGTATACCAGTCAACTACGAAGAAAGAGACCAGGGGGAATTAAGGTCAATTGCTTCGAGTTCAAATAACAACTTCCTATTGGGTCAATCACATTTATTAGAAATGGACAATAGAGTGGTTGTACCAGCCAAAACTCATCTACGTATTATTGTAACACTTGCTGATG